CTTGCTCCACCTACTCGTTACAGGGGCAGGTATGGTGGTACAGGTGATCCCACTTCCTTGGCCACAGCTAATGACAGCAGAGGTGGGTTCCTGACCTGAGTAGGGCATGGTCCTTTCCCTAAGAATATGAAATTGAGACTAAGAGATTCCAGCCTCGACTGAAACAGAAATTAAAAATTTGGAAGTGGTGCAAGGCCACCTTTTACCAAGTGGGTAGCAGGAGAGGCTGGCGAGCATGGTGAGAAAAAGCAGGAGTGACACAGAGAGAGAAGCAAGGAGGCCAGTGAGAGCAAGGCCACCTTGGCTCCTGAGGGGCCCCGTTTCTTGATTTCAGTCCCTCCCTCTGAGGCCCTGGCTACCAAAATATTATGAATTCCCTTTTCAAATTTACCTTGGCTTGATTTGGTTTCTTCCTTGCAACCAGACTCCCCCCTAACACAAAGGACAACCAGGGATAATACTGCAAAGAGAAAACGATTTCCTTTTGCTATTTTATAGAAAGTAAGCTCTCACCATCGCTTTCCCACCCTCTACTTGGACTACTTGCCTCTTTCAAGTCTCACACTGGTCATCTGTTGAAATGAGATTTTACCCATACAAAGAAACTTGAAAAGTAAACAGCAAACAAATCCACTCTATAAAATCAGAACGTATTCTAAAAGTTAATCTGTAAGTGAGCTGGTGAGAACTCAGAAGGCACTTTCCCATGGGAACTGTGTTATAAATGGTGATCTGCATCCCAGCTCAAAAGTCTAGTTCACCTACATTATAAAACAGACCCCAAGTCCTTTCTCTCCTCTCCATCTCACCACCACGCCCTGGCATTCAAGCTGTCATCATCTCTCACCTAGATCTCACTGCAAGAGCCCCTGCTGGTCTCTGCTTTTCCTCTAGCCCCTTACAATCCACTGTCCACAAAGCAGTAGAGAGCTTCTGAAAACATGCTCAGGTCACATGATTCTCCTGCTTAAGACCTCCCAATAGCCTCCCATGATGTTTAGAATAAAATCCAAACTCCTTCCATGGCTTCCAAGTCTTGCATGATGGAGCCCCTGCTTCTCTGTCTCTCTCCCTGATCTATCTCTAAACTCAAATCAGCTGGGCCTAGGACAGGCCATGCTCTCTCAGCCTCAGGGCATTTGCTGGCTGTGCCCTCTGCCTGATCCTTGTCTCCTTAGCTCATCCCATGCTCCTTCCTTCTCATCTTTCAGATCCCAGCTTAAATATCTTCTCCAAAGACCACTCTTTCCAAAGTAGGTACCCACTCTGTGACTCTTAGTCACTGCATCCTGTTTCCCTCTTTCAGGGCCTTTTCACCATTAGAGGTTATCTAGTGCATCTGTTTACTTGTAGACTTCTTTTCCCCACTAAAATGCTACTTCAGCGGAGCAGAGACCCCGCCTTGCTCTCCACTGTATCCCCAGGACCTACAATAAAACCAAAAAACCAAACCAATTGCCGTTGAGTCAATTCTGACTCATACTAACCCAAAAGGACAGAGTAGAACTGCCCCATAGGGTTTCCAAGGTTGTAATCTTTATGGAAGCAAATTGCCACATCTTTCTCCCGCAGAGCAGCTGGTGGATATGAATCACCAACCTTTCGGTTAGCAGCCGAGTGCTTAACCCCTGGGCAGCTGAAAAAAACATTTTAAACACAGCATCACTAGTGATGACAGTCAAAACCTGCCTACTTAGTATGAACTCAGCACTGCACTAAATGCTTTATACCCAGTTTGTTCAATCCTAACAACAACCTTGCTGGAAAGTACTACTACTAATCTCATGCTTGCTGCTAGTTGCCATCAAGTTGATTTCAGCTCATGTGTAGAGCAGAACTGCTCCATTGAGTTTTCAAGGCCATGATCTTTTAGAAGCAAATCGCCAGGTCTGTTTTCCAAGGTACCTCTGGGTGAGTTCAAACCACCAACCTTTCAGCTAGTAGTCAAGTACTTAACTGTTTGTACCACCCAGGGACTTCATCATGCTAGAAATGAAGAAAATAAGGCTCAAAGACACTCAAGCCCACACAGCTAGATAAAGAAAGAAAGAGGGCATGGGGAGGTCATTTCTGTACTTTTAAAAAAATTTTGCATGTCTGAAGATGTCTTTATTTTCCCCTCACACTTAATTGCTACATTAGGGTTGGGTATAGAATTCTACATTGGAAATCATTTTCTCTCAGAATAGAAAGGCACAGCACCATGTCTTCTGGCTAGTAGCGTTGTTGTTAGGGAGTGTGCTGCCATTAGGATTCTGACTCTTTGGATGTGGCCGCATTCCTGGTGTTCTGAAATTTCACAGGAATCATAGGTCTTGGGTACTTGGTAAGCCCATCCAATGTGGGAATTCATGTCCTGTTCTGGAAAATTTTCTTATGTTAATTCTTTGATAATTCTAATCCACCCTTTCCCCTGTTCTCTCTCTGAAACTCCTTTTAGTCATATATTGATCTGCTTCTCTAATTTTATCTGTTCTCCCCTTTTTTCTACCTCTTTGGGTTTTTGTTCTAATTTCTGAGAAATTTTCTGAACTTTATCTTCTGGTACCTCTAATAATTTTTTTCTTATTTTGATTATCATGTTTTTAATTTCTAAGAGCTCTTACTCTCTGATTGTTGATTTTATTAGCATTCTGTTCTTGTGTCATGGATGCAATCTCTTATCTTTCTGAAGAGAATAATTATAGCCTTTTTCCCTTTTTTCCCCTTAAGTTTTCTTCTACTTCTTGAATTTTCCATTTGCTTCTCCCAAGTTCCTTTTTACTTTTTGTTTGTCTTGATCTGTCTTTCATGTTGGAGCTTTCCTCAGACATCTGTCTGCGGGCCCTTGGCTCACTGTTCGTACCTATGTGAGGTGCGACAAAGCTGACTGGAAGCTCTGTGTGCAAGAGCAGAGTTTACAGACCGCTGGCTTCACTGTAGGGTCATCAGGAGGGGTCCCGATCTGTTGGAGGATTCCAGAATGTCAATTTGTAGGTTTCTTCTCTTGGGCAGTTTTACCAGAAAGGGGTCCATGAAGCTTCTGCCTAGCAGGTACTAAGCCTGACGGCTACTGTTCTGGGAGCTGAGTGGGAGGAAAGGGCATACCTTTTCGGTTTTGGCATCTTACCACCATCCCATGCTTGGTACCCCCAAGTCTGGTGCTTCTCTAGTTAAATTGCTTCAGAGAATAAATTTTGCTTCTCCTGTCAGGGTAGGGGAGGAGTAGTCACCTGGAAGTGCAGGGTATTGGGAACTTGACCATTCCTTATAAAGATTTTCAATAGCAACAACAACAACAAACTGTTTTCAGTCCTACCCACTTACCCCCACCTTCCAAGGTACCTTGTGCCTCTAATTCCTGAGCCTTTCTGCACTCTAAAACGTGAATCTGCGCCTTCTTGTCAGCGTGCCCCTCTCCCGACATAAAGGATTCCGCCGTTTCTGCTCTGCTAAAACAGTTATCGCCCATTCATCTGCTTCCTCTTTCACAAATGTGTTGTCATCTTTTATTAACTCTTATCTCCCCTCCTGTTCTCTCTGCCCTGGGGTTTATCTGTTTTTACTCTTTGGCTATCACTTATTAAAGTTTAAGGAGTAAGTGGAGCTAAGCACATCAATCCACCACTTTTAATCAGAATCCACGTGTCACGTTTTCTTCCCAGTCACTGCTCATTTATAGGACTAACTCGATTCTTATTGCCAAGGGCTGTGTCTTGGTTCACAAAACAAAGAAATGCAGAGAAAAGGATGGATTTGAGGCACCTGGACAAGAGTTAGAGGCCTGAAAAAGGAAGAATGGAGGTTAAAGACACCAAACACACCCATGAGAACAGAGAATATGTAGGATATAAATAACCAAGCTGTGACTAGTAAAAGCCAGTAAAGCGTAAAAAGCACAGTGGAGTTCATGAGCTGCCTGAGGGGAAAGAAGGGAGGCAGGGATGCACAGCATCTTAGCTCCTGCACTGACTGACCAGCAGGTGGCACCACTGATTCCAAGACAGCTTAGCTCTGGTGGCACAGTGGTTAAGCACTCAGCTGCTAACCTGAAGGCCAGCGGTTCAAATCTACCAGCCACTCTGTGGAAAAGATGTGGCAGTCTGCTATAAAGATTTATAGCCTTAGAAATCCTATGGGGGAGTTCTACTCTGTCCTATAGGGTCACTATGAGTCAGAAGCAACTTGACAGGAATGGGTTTGGTTTTGGTTAGTGTAGCCAACAAGTCCTTGGGTGGTGCAAATGGTTTGTGCTCCACTACTAACCTAAAAGTTGGTGGTTTGATACCACCCAGTGGTGCTACAGAAGAAAGTCCTGATGATCTGTTTCTGAAAGATTATGGTCAAGAAAACCCTACGGAGCAGTTCTACTCTGTAACACATGGGGTTGCCATGAGTCAGAATTGGCAATAGGTTTTGCTTTTTTTGGTTAGTGTTGCTGAGGCAGAAAAGAGAGAGAGCTAGCTGCAGGTAGTTTCTATATGTGAGTCATTCACAAGGCTGTATCTGGGAAAATGGCTTCAAGGAGACGTACTGAAGAGCTGTTATTAGACAACACTTGGAAAACCCACAGGATAGGTAACAAAACCATTATCAGCTGATCCCAAATCCCAGTTAGTACACTCCAGACCTACCCCATCAGAATTTCTAGGAATGGAGCTCTGGAACCTATTTTTAATGAATTGCCCAGTGGTTCCGATTGTATATTTAAGTTTGAAAACAACTGAAATAGAACGCATTCCAAAAGTGATTCTATGTATGTTTTAAACACGCAAACACATTTCAGTAGTTGGGGACACTGATGTAGGTGTGGTTAACCCCTTGCTGCTGACAATAGAAAGAATCTGTCCTCCAAATACAGACAACAATTCCTTGAGGTTAGTACTTTCTAAATGTTTTTACAAAAGTCTCTCATTTGAATATCAATAGCAACTACTCCTGAAGTCACTGTTAGCATGAAAATCAGCATGATATTTTTGCATAACGACAGTTCTGTATCCTTTTCAGCTAAGCACACATACCGTTCTTGAATGGCTTTGGAATAAGCCCCAACATTCAATGTTTTCCTGATCAAGTCACAGATGTGAGAGGTCTCTCCTGGGCATCGAGGGAGTCCAAAAATACCTGCAGCGGTAACAGACAAATGTTCATTCATTCAATAATCAAGTATTCAATACCCACTATGGACAAGGCATTGTGAAAACACACAACAAACAAGAGTCAGACTCTGATTTCACTTACTTATTGCTTAAAAAAGTAACGTATTGAGAGCTAGTGCTATAACGAGCTTCCTAAGGGTGCTCTCACTCTTTTCTGCCTCAGGACCGCTGCACCTGCTCTTTCCCTGGGATGTGCTTCCCTTGCTGCTTCACATGGCTGGGTTCATTCTCGTCTCTCAGGTCTTCGCTTGAAAAAGCTAAGTATCTATCTAAAGAGCACCCTTCTCCCATCCCCTTCCCCCACATCCAGTTATACTCCCATCCTCATAAAACTCATCAATAACATTTTTTGAGAACCAGTCATAGTTCTGAGCATATATGGACAGTGATTAATTTAATCCTGACAACCACTCTGTGAAACAGACGTCATTATTTAAAGATAGGAAACTTTAAAACATAGAGGTTAAATAAAAAGCTTGTCCAAAGGTAGACAGTAAGTGGTAGAGCCAGGACTTGAACACAAGCACTTTGTCTACAGAGCCCACACCTTTAGCCACTATAGCCACTAAACTGTCTCTCAAATATTATCCTGGTTTTTTTTTTTTCCCCTTTACCACAGTTACCACTATCTGTGCATATTCTGTTTATTTGTTTACTTCTTTCATGACTGTTCTCCTCCCACTAGAATGAATGCTTCATGAAGAGAGGGACCTTGTCTGTCTTTTCTTGGGATATAGCAGGTGCTCAATAAATACCTGAATGAATGAATGAAAAGGCTGTTTTTACCAACTTGCATTTGTATAATATTGTACTTTTAAAAAGCAGTTTCCTATCTATTATTTCACCTAATTCTCCCAGAAGTCCCATAAGATAGGCAGTCATATTTTAGTTCCCCTCCTCTGTGAAAGGGACCTAAGATACCAAATTGCTTGCCTGTGAATAACAGTTAATGGGGCGAATCCAGTTTCCTGATTCGAAGCAGAATCCCCTGCCCCTATATTATACCAGCTAATAGCTAAAGCCATCATAACAGAAAGAAAATTCTATTGCAAAGATATACCCTTTCCCAAAAGTATATAAGTCTGCTTAAACAGAAAACCTATTGTTTTTCAAAGGGTTTGATCTCTACTGTTAATTTTATAGACAAAAAAGCTTAGGCACTAAGTTTCAACAGGACATCACGTATGTCAGGAAACACGAAGGTCATTAGATTTTCCTAACTCCTCAACTGCCACCTGCCACGTGGCTGCAACTACCTCACCTCCACGAAATCCAATCAATTAAAGTGGAGAGAAGTAGATCGCCACCTAATGCACCACCTGTGCTTCAGGTCTCTGGAATCCTAAATCTCATCCTATTTCCTCATTAATGCTGGCTAGTTTGAGCAAGGAGCCCCGGTGGTGCAGTGGTTAAAGCGCTCGACTGCCAACTAAAAGGTCAGTGTTTCCAACCTACCAGCCACTCTGTGGGAGAAAGATGTGGCAGTCTGCTCCCAGTGAAGACTGTTGTTGTTGTTGTTAGGTGCCGTCGAGTTGGTTCGGACTCACAGCAACCCTGTGTACTACAGAGCAAAACACTGCCTGGTCCTGTGCCATCCTCATGATCATTATTATGCTTCAGCCCATTGTTGCAGCCACTGTGTCAATCCACCTCGTTGAGGGTCTTCTTCTTTTTCGCTGACCCTATACTTTACTAAGCATGATGTCCTTCTCCAGGGACTGATGCCTCCTGACAATGTGTCAAAAGCATGCAAGACATAGTCTCGCCATCCTTGCTTCTAAGGAGTGTTCTGGTTGTACTTCTTCCAAGATAGATTTGTTCGTTCTTTTGGCAGTCCATGGTATATTCAATATTCTTCACCAATGCCACAATTCAAAGGCAACAATTCTTCTTTCGTCTTCCTTATTCATCGTCCAGCTTTCGCATGCATGTGAGATGACTGAAAATACCATGGCTTGGCAAGGGAGAATGAAGAGAACAGGATATAAGGAAAAGATCAGTCCAAAGGACTAATGGACCACAGCTACCAAGGCCTCTACCAGACTGAGTCCAGTACAGCTAGATGGTGCCCGGCTACCACCACTGACTGCTCTGACCAAGAATCACAACAGAGGGTTCTGGACAGAGCTGGAGAAGGATGCAGAACAAAACTCTAACACGCACACAAAAGACCAGATTTACTGGCCTGAAAGAGACTGAAGAAACCCCGAGAGTATGGCCCCCAGATACCCTTTTAGTTCAGTGGTGAAGTCACTTCTGAGGTTCACCGTTCAGCTGGGGATTGGTCAGCCCCATAAAACAAAACGGGACTAATGAGGCACAGCAGAACAGGGACAAGGACTAGAAGGCAGAAGGGGACAGGAAAGCTGGTAATAGGGAACCCAGGGTCGAGAAGGGAGAGTATTAACATGTCATGGGGTTGTTAATGAATGTCATAAAACAGTATGTGTACTGACTGTTTAATAAGAAACTATTTGTTCTGTAAACCTTCAACTAAAGTACAATTAAAAAAAATACTATGGCTTGGGTCAGGTTCACCTTAGTCTTCAAGGTGACATCTTTGCTCTTCAACACTTTAAAGAGGTCTTTTGCAGAAGATTCGCCCAGTGCAATGTGTCTTTTGATTTCCTGACTGCTGCTTCCATGGATATTGATTGTGGTTCTAAGTAAAATGAAATCCTTGACAACTTCATGCTTTTCTCCGTTTATCATGTGTTGCTTATTGATCCAGTTGTGAGGATTTTTATGTCTTTATGTTGAGGTGTAACAACAAAGATTATACAGCCTTGGAAACTCTATGGGGCATTTCTACTCTGTCCTATAGTGTCACTATGAGTGGGAATTGACTTGATGGCAGCCGGTTGGGTTTTTGGTTTTAGTTTGATCATCCTAAGGTGGAGAAACAGGATTTTGCGAGAACAGCTGACTTCTTGAGCTAACAGAGCTGCTGACTTTTTAAAAACGGTCACATGGTTTAGAACAGAGAAGAAAGGAGGCAAAGAGGCCAAAGTTACCTTGCTGTTGTCCCCCAACAGAGATGAGACTGATCATGGGAGGTGATGGGCATCTCTGGGCCACTGCCCTCCTGGGGGAAAAAGAAAAGGGTTACCAACTGTCAGATGGAAATGTATCATCATGAGCTCTATCAGTTAAGCTACTTAATCCTCAGTGGTTCCCCAAAGTCAGAGAACTTCACAATTTTCCTCTGATATGGCCAAACGCAAACCTTAATTCCTTCATAGAAAATAAATTAAGTTCCATAAAGCTCTTTACATGGACATATTTTAGAATGTTTTCCCTTCCAAGATAAGTGGGGATCCCAAAAGAATTAGAGGAGTGAATCTCTCTGAATAAAAGAAAAAAATCCATTCCATGTTAAGTGATGTTATGTAACAGAAAAGGACTTACAGAAATTGGCCTCCCTGGGAGAATCCCATAGCATTGTAGCCTCGCTGCAACTTAGGATCCTTAGCGAGAGTCTGACAAACTGTCGATACTTGGGAATTGACATTCAAGAAGAAGCTGTTCTCCACATCCTAAAAGAGGAGCCACAGAAATGTGAAAGCTCGGGGCTGAAAACAACCGCTGGCATCTTCTCTAAGAGGTGAACTTGTTTAGGTTGGGATCCTCACATAAGCCACTCATGAGTTAAACTATCATTAAACAATTTGCTGCTAAAAATGCAAAGTACAGCATTTTTTAAAAAATTTTATTTTGTTGTTGTCATTGACAATATATACAAGAAAACATACACCAATGTACATGGACAACTCAGTGACATTGATTACATTCTGCTAGTTCTGTAACCATTCTCAACCTGCCTTTTCTGAGTTGTTCCACCCCCGTTAACATAAACTCACTTCCCCTAAGGTTCCTATCTAATCTTTCAAGTTACTGTTGTCAATTTGATACCATATAAGTAGTTCTTAAAAGAGCATAATGTTTAAGGCAGACATTTTTTACCAGTTAAGCTAAACTATTCTTTGGTTTTAAGACTTCAGGGGATATTTTTGGTTTAAGGTTTAAAGATTATCTCAGGGCAATAGTTTCAGGGGTTCACCCAGCCTCCATGGCTCCAGGAAATCTATAGTCCAATAGAATTTTAAATTCTGTTCTACAATTCCCCCCTTTTGATCAGGATTCTTCTATGGAATCTTAGAAAAGAAAGCATTTTAATGATACATTCTCTGAAGGTCAGTAAACCTTCAAAGAAACAGAGCTGGGAAGGGCCTTACCTCTGTTAGAGTCTTCCCAATCTCCAAAGATAAGACATAAATTCCAGGTATTTTCTTCTCAACCATTTTTTTAATAGCACCCATGCTTAAGGGATTACAACAGCTGTCTCCTAGCCAACAAAAACAATGACAGAAACTCATGAATAAAAACATTATTTACATCTAGAATAGGCAAAGGTATAGACACCAAAGTTTTATCAGTGGAACCACTGGTTAGGAAGCAGTGAGCTTCTGTTTATGGTAATGGGAAATTTGGCAATGATTACGGGTGATGGTTGCACAGCATGATTAAGGTAATTGATATCACTAAATTATATACATGAAAAACGTTGAACTGGCAAATGCTGTGGTATATATATCTTTACAATAATTTTAAAAAAGAGAGAAACAGAGCAGAAATTCAGCAGAAAACAAAGTGAAAAGGTTAAAAGGTTGGTTGTCTTTGTCAATTTTATTCTTAAGGTAAGATTTAAAAAAAGAAGTAACACTTCATTGTCCTCTGTTAAACAATCTAGAGAAAACACTGATATGTTAGTATCTTCTCTGCCTCTCATGTTGGGGTGTGATTAGATGACTAGCAAGTATTTTCAAAATTAAAAAACAAAGCAAAACAAAAATGACATTATTTGCTAAAAAAATCAACTTTATAAAGTAATAATAAGCTTCAAAAAGTCCACTGAGACAACAAATTTATAAATGAAAAATAAGCAGAGATCACTTATCATATGGGACATTCGCGGTTAAAAGACTCAAAAGAGCTCTAGAATCTGCTTTATCTTCAGCGCCAGGACTAAGGTGAAGCAAGTGAGGTGCCTAAGGCACAAAATTTAAGGAAGCACTCATTCTCAGGGTCATGCAAGTGCTGACCCTGAATCTGCACAAACATGATAGTGAGTGTCTCCTTAAAGTTTGCACTCTAGTTGCCTCACTTGCCTCAACCTAGTCCCAGCCTTATTTCTCTTCCTGTATCAAGGAGCCAGAGCTAATAACCAGAAGCAACGTGACTGGCCACAGAGTGGGAGTACACTGGGATCGTTTCCCATTTTCAACTTAATCATCCCATTTTCAGTCTGAGAGAAAACTTAAGAACCAGTTTTCAAAGCAGGGAAAGCTGAGGCCCTCAAACATTCAAAGTTCATGGAGATGACACAGAACCAGGCAACATTTCCTCCCATTATTCATATGAGTAGGAGCTGACTCCACAGCAACTAACACCACCACACCACCACCGAAGCATCCTCTATTTGTCTCACCACATTCACCAACTAAACTATGATTGGTGGTTACTTAACTGCCTCCCCTGTGGACTGTGAGCTCTGGGAGAGCATGGAGCATTTTATTTTGTATCATCTTTTAACCCCCTTCAAACCCTGGTGGCACAGTGCTTATGAGCTCGGCTGCTAACCAAAAGGCTGGAGTTCAATCCACCAGCCACTCCTTGGAAACCCTAAGGGGCAGTTCTACACTCTGTCCTATAGGGTTGCTATGAGTCAGAATCAACTCGACAGCAACGGGTTTGGTTTTTAGTTTTGGTTATGGCCCCAGCTCTGGCCCAGAGCTTTGAAAGAGCTGTCTCTACTTGCTAACTCAAATTCTTTCTGAACATATTTCTTTATCGCATTCCAATCAGGCTCTCACTCTCACCACTCCACCAAAATTGCTCCTGTCAAGGTCATTAATGATCTTCATATTGCTGTATCCAACAATCAATTCTCAGCCCTTACCTTACTTAACCTATCAACAAGATTTAATACAAGTGATCACTCCCTTCTCCTTGAAACATTTTCTTCACTTGGCTTCCAGGACACTGAGCTGTCCTGACTTTCCTCCACCTACTGGTTGTTCCTTCACTGTCTCCTTGGCTAGTTCCTCCTCATCTCAACCTCCAAATGTTGGAGTGCCTAGGACTCAGTCCTTAAACCTCTTCCCTCCTCTATGTACACTCACTCCCTAGGTGTTCTCATCCAGTTTCATGGCTTTAAATACTATCCGCATGCCAAAGGCTCCCAACTTAAATCTCCAGCCTATATCTCTGTCCTAGATAAACTCCATAGTCCAAATGCCTGTACAATATCTCCTGCATGTCTAACAAGCACCTCAATCTTAGTAAGCCTAAAATCAGACTTCGATCTTTTCCACATCCCATATTTACTTGCCCAAGGCTTCCCCACCTTGGGGAATGACAATTTCACCCTTCTAGTTTTCCAGGCCAAAAACCGTGGAGGCATCCGTGATGCCTTTCTTTCTCTCTCATCTGATTAGCAAATCCCATTGGTTCCATCTTCAAGACATATCCAAACTCTGACTACTTCTCAACACCTCCGTTGCTACTATACTGTTCCAATCCGTCATCATCTCCTGTTTAAATGATCTCAATAGCTTCCTAACTTGTCCTCCTGCAACTGTCCATGACCCACTGTAATCTAGCCTCAATGCAGCAACCAGAGCAATCCTTTTAAAATGTAAGTCAGATCATGTCACTCATTTGCTCAAAATCACCCAATGGCGTCCGATCTCACTCTATCCAGAGTCCCTACCTTAGACTTAGTAACCCCAACAACATCTGTATCCCTCCACCTCTCTGACCTACACCTGTTCTCTTCCCCTTGTTCACTCAGTTCTAGCCACACTGACCTGAATGCTGTTCCTTGAACATACCAGACATGCTCCTTCCTCAGGGTCTTTCCATTTGCTCACTCCTTCTACCAGATGTCCACATGGCATCTTCCCTTACCCACTGCAGGTCTTTGCTCTGATGTCGTTTTCTTAAAGCCTTTCCTAACACTGCTCTATAAAATGCAAGCTCCCACCTCCACGTCTATATCCCCCCACCCCCCACTCTATTTTTCTCCATTGCACTCATCACGTTAACATATCAAATGTTTTACTTACAATTTTTTGAAAGTTCCAAAAAGAGCAAGGACTTTAGGCTGTTTATTTACTGATGTATCCTCAGCACCTAGTAGGTGCTCAATAACTATGTGTTAATTGAGTGAATGTGTGAAAAAATAAAAGAATGGAAGGCCCGGTCACGTAGCCAGAGCCTGGGTCGCCTAATCCAGTGCGGGATGCTGAATCCTGACGCCACTGCTGTGGGGATTCAACCGGCAGCATGAAAACCCCTCAGCGCAGAGCACAGTTCACTATGAGCGCTCACCAAAAGACAGCGCCCGTCTCCTACTCCCTTTCCAAGGCAGGGTAGCCCGCAAATTCTAAAACGTCGGGCCAGCCAGGCACTGTGCGGACCACCGTCGCCGCCCTCCACACTCGCATCTTGCCGACGCGAAACCAAGGCTGGGAAAGGGATACAGAGTCGTCAACCCCTTCTGACCCTCTTCTCACTCACTCACCCATCCCATGCCAGATCACCAGCGGCAGCGGCGTCGGCGGGTCGAGATGCCCCAGAGCCCGGGAAGCGTAGGACCCAAGCAGGAGAACGACAGCCAACAACCACAAGGAGATAGGCGAAGCCATCTTGACTCCGTCACATGAGTGCGGGCGCGCGCCGCCGGCGAAGCGCGCCACCGGGGCCCGGCTGTGACGCGGGCGGGCCGGGCCGCCTGCTCCCTCGGTCTCCATCCGCTGCTGGGTGAGGCCGTTCCCCCGAGCCAAGGAGTCTCTTGGCCTGGATTCTGCGCTCTAGTAGGCCGCTCCCGCGGTGTGTTGTTTGCAGGTCCCCAAATGCTTAATCAAAACCAATCCTAGCATTTATTTAACGTTTACTACATATCAGGCACTGTTCTTAATGTTTTACGTCTGTAAACCAATTTAATCCTCAGAGCAACGCTATGTACACTCCCCCCCATTTTACAAGTAGTGACACTGAGCCACTCAATTTGTACGAGGTGCCCAAGGTCACAGAGATAGCAGATGGGCTGGGTTTAGAGTCATTGCTCTTAACCACCGCACTGTACTGCCTTTGGAAGAAACATACTTTGTGGAAAGAAGAAAGGAAGGAAAGACTCAGCTGTCTGTTAGAAGGGGAAGGATCATTTCCAGCCGGGGCTAATCATGGCAGGGTATGATATTTGTTCTGGACCTTCAACCAAAAAAAAAAAAAAAAAAAAAAAAACTCAAACCCATTGCCGTTCAGTGGATTCTAACTCAAAGCGACCCTATAGGATATGGTGGAACTGCCCCATAGGGTTTCCAAGGAGAGCCTGGTGGATTCGAACTGCCAATCTTTTGGTTAGCAGCCAAACTGTTAACCACTACATGCCACCAGGGTTTCGGACCTTCAACAGGTAGAGATGAAATGAAGGACTGGCATGAACTAAGGTACCAAAAACCAAACCAAACCAAACCCGTTGCCTGTCGAGACGATCCGAACTCATAGCGACCCTATAGGACTGAGCAGAACTGTCCCATAGGGTTTCCGAGGCTGTAAATCTTGAGGAAGTAGACTGCCACACCTTTCTCCCGCGGAGCGCTGGTGGGTTGAACCGCCCAGCTTTTGGTTAGCAGCCCAGCGCTTAACAACTGCACCTGCAGGGCTCCTTCTATCAGGACTTACAGGGCTCAAATATACAACTTTTCACTGCCAGCCTCTCCAGATGGTAAATGATTGTAAAATTAAGAAAAGACTCTTGGCAGAAATCAAATTCAAGATGCTGTCAGGAAAACATTCTCTAAAGAAGAAAGGTTAAGACCTCAAAAAGAACTAAGGAGGTGCCTTACAGAACCTCTCAAAAGAAAAAAGTACCTCCAAGGATTTTTAAAAAATATATTTTATTGTATTTTTGGTGAAAATATACACCGCAAAACATGCTCCCATTCAACAACTTCTGCACATAATGTTCAGTGACACTGGTTACATTCTTCACATTGTGTCAACATTCTCATTATTTCCATTCTGGTTGTTTCACTCCCATTAACTTAATCTCATTGCCTGCAAACTTCTCATCTGTGCTTTAGAGTAACTATCGTCTATTTGGTGAGTTTGAACAGGCAACTTTTTTGGTTAGCAGCTGAGTGCTTAACGAATGTGCCACCAGGACTTCTTCAGTGAGCTAAGGTAGAGAGGAGAAAAAGTTGTATGGTGTGTTTTCTAGAAATGGCAGGGTTTCTAGAGTGACAAGAGCATTTGTCCGATATATAAGGTTATAGGAAAGTCTACTGCCACTTCCTGGTCTAATCTCAGAGCTGGTTTATTGCAGGAGGCTCTCATCAACCATTTTCCCCATTTCATCATCCCTTCTTTAATCCATTTTATGTTCTATTGCCAGATTCATTCTCTCAATCCATTTTCATCATTTCAAAAAAATTGAAATCGTTTAAATAGGGAATTTGTTAAACAAATGAGGGTGTATCCTCTATAAAATTAAATACTATGCAGCTGGTTTTATTAAGGATGGGGTAGATGTATATATACTGTTGTTGTTAAGTGCCTTCAAGTAGGTTCCAACTCATAGCGATCCTATGTACAACAGAATGAAACACTGCCCCATCCTTTGCCATCCTCACAATTATTGCTATGTTTGAGCCCATTGTTGCAGCCATTGTGTCAATCCATCTTGTTGAGGGTCTTCCTTTTTTTTTTATCACTGACCCTGTACTTCAGCAACATCACTAGCGGGTTGTGGGGTTGACATCCAGTGACACTGTCAGAGGGGGTGGTACCAAATGACTGTCTATAAAATTTTTTGTGCAGTTTCAGCAGAAATTTATTATCTTTATAAAAATATTCCTATAGTTAGTTATAACAACAAGAACATTTTTCGTAAGCCCGGCTTACACGTATCAACATACCTATAAGGCTAAAACTTTATGCTAATTTACTTTCTGGACCTGCTAATGTGCTCTCCCCCATGAGTCTGTCAGTTTGTCACACTGTGGAGGCCTTTGTGTTGCTGTGATGCTGGAAGTGATGCCACAGGTATTCAAATACCAGCAGGGTCACCCATGGTGGACAGGTTTCAGCTGAACTTCCAGACTAAGACAAACTAGGAAGAAGGTCCTGGTGGTCTACTTCTGAAAAAAATTAGCCAGTGAAAACCTTATGAATAGCAATGGAACATAGTCTGATATAGTGCTGGAAGATGAGACCCTCAGGTTGGAAGGCACCCAAAATACAACTGGGGAAAAGCTGCCTCCTTAAAGTAGAGTCGACTTTAATGACGCGGATGGAGTCAGGCTTCCTTTGCTGATGTGACACAACTCAAAATGAGAAGAAACAGCTGCAAACATTCATTAATAATTGGAACGTGGAATGTACGAAGTATGAATCTAGGAAAATTGGAAATCATCAAAAATGAAATGGAACGCATAAACATCCATATTCTAGGCATTAGTGAGGTAAAATGGACTGGTATTGGCCATTTGAATTGGACAATCATATGGTCTACTATGCCGGGAATGACAACTTGAAGAGGAATGGCATTACAATCATCATCAAAAAGAACTTTTCAAGATCTATCCTGAAATACAATGCTGTCAGTGATAGGACAATATCTATATGCCTACAAGGCAGACCAGTTAATAAGACTATTATTCAAATTTACGCACCAATAACAAAGCTTATTAAGAAAATGTTCTGCATCCTACTCTGGTAAGTGGCGTCTGGGGTCTTAAAAGCTTGCAAGTGGCCATCTAAGATGCATCAATTGGTCCCA